AGTTGTTATTTGTGAAATTACTTCACTAGTTTGTTACAATTATTAATACAAAGATCGAACACTCAGAAAAAATTCCTTCGATCCGGCCGGATTTTATAATTTTAATTTATTTTAATTTTATCTTCTTTTATTTTAAATCAATATTTAAATTGCATTATACTACCTTTATTCCAAAGCTCTTTACTTAACAAACTATGGATAATTGTTTTTGTTTGAAATAAGGTATTATTATTATTATATAACAACCATATCAAGTCAAGGTACCAACTTAAAAAGTTAATCGTAAATTTTATTATCACCATTTCCATACTACGATAAAAATACAATATAAAAATGATTTCTCAATTTCAATTGTCCAAACACTTCCAAATTTTATTTTCGTCCAATATTTACAAGTAATTTTATATATATAACAATAAAAGACGGACTTTTAAGCAGATTTAACAAAAGAAAAATAAAATGTGAAATTAACCAACAAAAATGAAGCTTTTCATTTTTTTAGCAATAATAATACATTTAAACCTTAATTCAGCAATCAGATACAAAAACAGAAAATATTTCGACTCTCATAATGTTTATGATAAACATAACGCTGCTGCAAGTAAAGTCGACGTAAATCAAAGTAATAAAATAAATTCTCAACGCTCAAATTTGGATACAGAAGATGCCGAAAGCAAAAAGCAAATTGAGTATGATTTAGCATATCAGAAGCTTAAAGAAGAAACTGCTCACAAGAAGATATACATAGAGAATGAAACGAAGAGCGATGAATACTCTTCAGCAGAATATTATAAACATGAAAAAATTGACCTTGAAACTCGAAGAGCGAGCGATTTGGAACCAAAAGGCTTCTGGTCAGGGGAGAATGATAAGAAGATAAAGAAAAGTAATAAAGCACAAACGAAAACTGTTCATGACACTAAGCAAGCGGTATTACAAGAGAAAGATCATTCCATTATTGATAAATTGGACCAAAAATATTTTAAACATAAAGATAACAATTTTAATGACTTCCAAATCAGATTTACAATAAGAGATAACGATTTTGTTAAATTAAAAAATGAAGAGTTAACACAGAGTAAGGAGTCAGAAATCGATAATGATAATAAAAAATATTTTGACACAATTGCAGATATCGATAAAAATAGAATAAAAAATGTCAATGCAACAATATTAACAGATTTTACTAAAGATGAAGAAAATTATTATAAAAATATGAAACAAGAAATACAAAGAAAAACTGATAGGAAACATTATCGAAGGAAATACTCACGTGAAAATGATTCTCACAGCCGTGAAGGGAACATTGAAAAAATAATAGACTCTCAAGAGGGAAATGCATTTGGAAGTAAAGAGTTTCACGGATTTAAACCTAAACGGCAGAAAACAAGATATACAACTAGCACCCATAAAACTATACGGGATGCAATTCACAAGAGAAGAAACAGTTACTATCATAAAGGTAGAAATTATATAACTAAGACAACACATACTCATAGAGCGGATAAAGATAGAGAGGAAGTTACGAAAGACACTAAGAAACAGTTACGTAACCCCGAAGAAATAGAACATCAAACAAAACCTGAAGATGGCAAAACCGAAGGTCGACATCATTATCGCAACCAATCTCCAAAAAAAATATCTATAGAATATACAGATATAAGCCTTTATGATGGTCTTAGTGAAAAGAATGACAAGTACATACCTGAAGAAGAGAACAAATCGAACTACAAACCAAAATCACGAGATGTTGACAAGGATAATAAATTTAAAAACAGTCAACAAGATGCTAAATATAGTAGAGAAAATATTCAAGACAGATCTCAAATTAACCATAAAAAAGAACACTTAGGATCCCAGAAATACCCTGATATTGTAAATCGTCGTTTGGAAAATTCAGATAGCCACACGCCCAAATATAACCGACTGCCTAGTAAAGCTATGCCAAGACGAATAAAAAGCTTCAGTGTGGAAAGATTTGATAAAGCTCATAAACAGACTCTAGATCAGTACGTTGAGCAGGAAATGAATGATTACCACAATCCTGAAGTTTTGCCACCTCAAGTACCTCATAGGAAGTTGAAGCCCATACACAAGCCTTCTAAAATAATTTCTCGAGCTAATGAACGCCTAGATCCTATAAGAAAGCCAAGGGAAGACGGTGTTGAACTAATAAAAGTTAATAAACCTGGAGAATCTGAAGAAGACGGACAAGGTTTCAATAAACCTGTGGTTCAAATTGAAACGACTACATTGAAACAAATTTATAGATCTGACAGCGAACACTTAGACAAACGTCCTATTGACGAATTCATAAACATTGAAAAAAATATCCAAAATAATAAAGTTGAAGAACATGTAACTAAATCTCGATACGAGCAGTATTTACAACATTTCCATGATAATAATGATGCTAATAATCAAAATCATTTAAAAAATGATAAATATGCAGAAAATCCTATGAGTAATTTAAATGAAAATGGGTACGAAAATTACCAACAAACAGCAAATAATAAACATTATTACAAAAATAACTATTACACTAATAAAAAAAAATATGATAACGAAAATAATAATGAAAATTATAACGATAATAATTATAAAATGGTAAACAAAAATTATACAGTTAAAAAATATGTTACTAACAATGACAAATTAGAAAATAGTCAAGAATATAGAAATAATGAAAATAACAGAAACACGGAGACAATAAATAATAACGTAAATAAAAATGAAGATGTAAACATGAAGCATATCAAAAGTAACGACTACTACGACAAAAATATTAACAACGCGCCAAACTATGGCTATGATAAAAAAAAATATATAAATAGAGATGATAACAGTAAAGATAAAGACTTAAAAAATAATTATTACGATAAAAATTATTTTAATAACAACAATTACAAAAATAACGATGATAATGCCAATGATAATAATTATGAAGAAAACAGAAATAGTAATCTAAAGATCAAACATTCAAATTATAGAGAAAAACCAGAAAAATACGGTGAAAGAAGACCAACACAAGTTTATGAATCACGGCCACATTCCCAAAACCAACCTGAAGACAGATATAACCCGTCTCTTAAACCGGTCACTCCAAATTACCAAAATGAAATGGATACAAGAGGTGTTGGAAAAGATTATGATAGACAACGGGCTATTGATACTAATTACGGTAACTACCCAGAAAATTATAAAACTCCTAGTATTAACAATGAAAGTCCTCAACGTTCATTTCCGGGGTCGCCTGAAGGTGTAAATCAAGAACCATATCTAGGTGCAGCTCAAAATGACCCTATTAAAAAAGAAAGCTTAAGATTTGGGCCCAAAATACGAATTGAAGAGAAACCAGGATATCGCATTGAGTACTTCGATTTTAGGCGACGTCATCGTAAGAAAAATAACATTTCTGGTGCGAAACGTAAGTTGGACTCACGAAGAAATATCGAATTGAATATTATGAGAAAGGATTACTCCAATAATACAAAAAGTAAAATAAGTAAAGATCTAATCAGACAATGGAGAAACGATGGCAATGTAGAAAATGAACAAAAACCTAGCGGGCTTAAAAGAAGGCGAAGAACTTCAAAGAAGACAGATTTTAGTGTTATTGGACCTCGAGAAATAGCATATTTGAAAGAGAAATATAATACACTTTCGCGTGCTGAACAAAGCGATTCAAAAATTTCTATCAATACGGTGGAAACTAGCGAGCAAGATAATCACGGTGACAATTCTATTCCGAAAAAAGACAATGATATTGCTACTAAAAATGATGAAAAAATGATTTTAAGTAATTTTAGACGTCGGAAAGAGAAACATGGAACAAAAAAATATGAAAAGAAAAAAACTCTTGAAAAACCGGTAGTTACTGAAAATGTTGAAAAAGATGACGTGCTTAATCTAACTGATGCTTTAATTGACAACAAAGTTAAAGAGAACAATGAAACAACCATGACTGATGATTTGGAGGAAATGGAAGATATGGAGGAAAAAAATTACAGAGAAAATTTCAAAAGCAATGTATGGAGTGCCTTAAAAAAAAGCATTTTAGCTCGTCATAGCGAGAATAAGACAGATAATATTCTACTTTTAAAAACGGCTGCAACTTCACATGTCCCAAAAACGGATTCGAATGTTTCTGTTATAAAAAGACAACAACATAACCAAAATAACGATAAAATGGTAGTTCCAACTCAAATTACTGAAAAACCAACTACACTTTGGGAAGAAAGATATGAAAATCTCTATATACAAAAGCTTCAATATCCTGAGAACACTCGCAAATACAAACACGATAGAAATTATGATGATAACAATAATCCGTTCATGGAAGAATTAAACTTTAGCCACAAAATACGTAAACATGGTAGAGATACAGATAAACGCCTTTCAAACAGTCATGTAGAGGATAATAGTAAAAATTATCAAAACATTAGTATTTCAAAATATGGAAACACAGACAATAACGATGACAATTTGAAATCTGAACGGCGACATGAAAAACATTATAACGATTACAATAACCGAGAACATTTTCGACACAATAACAAACATGACGATGAACAGGATGACATCGACATTACCAATGATAATAGTGGTAATGAAAAAAAACGAGAACATCACAAAAGTGATGATTACGTTATCGTTGATCATTACAATAAAAATAAAGACCGCATCGATTATACAGATAAGGATAGTAACTATGCGAAGTCAAAAAATAAGTTTCACCGAAATACACATCATAAAAATGATGACAGCGATCATAAAACAGAAAGCAACGAAAAAACTCATAACAAACCTTTTGATGACCAAAAAATTTTTGATAGGAAAAGTATTGAACATGAGTTTCTTAACAAACATCGTGTTAAATACGACAATGTTATGAAAAAATCTACGGAAAAAGACGTTGATTACGTTAAAATGAAAAGAGATCATAAATATACTATTACACATTCCGAAAGTGAACACGCCAATAGTGAACATACAATAATTGAACACGGTAATGGTGAACACAGTAGATTCAGAAATAAAATTCGAAATGATGATACCCATAATAACACGGAAAATACTGAAGAACAAAATGAACACATCGTTTCTACAAATATAAAAAAGGAATATAAAACAGATAAAAAAATGGTAAAACACCAAATTAATACAAGTAATAATCAAAATGATGAAAACAAAAAAGATCTACCTGAAGTCCGCGACATTAGTGTTTCGACTAGAAACAAATCAGAAGCAGTACGATTTAGAACCACAAATGAAACGAAATTTCATAAATCTAACAAAGGACGGGCAAGATCTGATAATGATGATGATGGTGAAGATGATGGTAAAACCACATCGCCACATGACACGACGACTGGATATGACGACTTATCCGATTCCAAATTTAACTTCATAGTACTGTTAGTTCATGAATTGGATCACTATTGCAAAAGCGTATGTACCGCTGTAACAATAACTCTAAATTTTGCACTAACCGCTGCTCACTGCATACCACCCGAACCAAAACCAACCTTGCACATTATGTACGACAATTATAACAATATACAGAGAAGTAAACATCGCAATAAAACGGAACCTAAAAATAATGGTAACGATTTATTAGATACACGTGATTCCACAACGGTGCTGAAAATATATAAACATCCAAACTACAGACAAGTGTTTATAAAAAGAGATCCCGGTACAGATGACTTACATTCTTCAACTGTCAACGACATTGCTATGTTGAAAACTCAATATAATCTTCCGCAACCTGTAGGAAAACTTTCAGCTTTCGAATTCAACTCGCTACTCGGTGTATCCGTAAACTTCTATGGCATGGAAAACAATAATTGTACAAAAGGAGCCTTAGCAGACATCACATTAAGACAGGGGGATAACAAATATATTTTACGAACATATTCTGGTGCAGTTACCACCTGCAATGTTAAAGCTGAAGGCATAACACTGTGCCTCGCACCAGAATGTAACCAACATTTGGGTGAGAATTTAAATATCCTGGAAGGGGGACCGGTTATTTTTTCAAATAGAGTTGTTGGTATTGTCAACGAAATTGAGCCAGCGATTACTTTCATACCTGTCAGCCCATATTTAGATTGGATCACGCAGATACTAGACCAAGGAAAACCTGTAAAAGTTCAAAACACAATGCCTGTACTGCCCTAAGACTTTAATACGGCAATACGTAGTTCTTGATCGAATAAAAGTTTTCTAAGATTTAAATAATCTCAGTACATCATCATTCAGCCATACGACGCCCACTGCTGGGCATAGGCCTCCCCCAACGATCTCCACGACGATCGGTCCTGCGCTGCCCGCATCCATCGGCTTCCGGCGACCTCCACCAGATCGTCGGTCCACCTGGTGGGGGGCCTACCCACTGAGCGTCGTCCGGTGCGCGGTCGCCATTGAAGAACCTTTCCGCCCCAACGGCCATCGGTTCTCCTAGCTATGTGCCCCGCCCACTTCGAGCTATGTCGGTTACCTTAGTTCTCCTACGGATTTCCTCATTTCTGATTCTATCACGCAGGGAAATACCGAGCATCGCTCTCTCCATTGCCCGCTGAGGGACCTTGAGCCTTCTTATGAGGCCCATAGTGAGGGACCACGTTTCTGATCCATATGTGATCACTGGCAACACACACTGGTCAAAGACTTTCGTCTTGAGACATTGAGGTAATTTGGACGCAAAGATTTTTTGGAGTTTCCCGAACGCTGCCCATCCGAGCTGGATTCGACGAGAGATCTCTTTCTCAAAGTTGGACTTACCTAACTGGATTGTCTGCCCCATCTCAATCTCAGTACACAATACTATAAAAACCCACCCTCAAAAGTACGTGGAATTATACCTATTTGCCAGGTTTTATTGAAATATCCCCTAGTTCGCCACTATACTTGACTTGACACGGGAGATAATAAAAATTGGTTCTCACTACTCAAAGTATATTGAGAGAGAAAAACGCCTTGAATTGGAGAATAGTAAAACCAACCATTAAAATAATTGCTCCTTAAGTAAAATTTAGGCGCTATTTATAAAAATGAATTTTCATGCGTGAACAGCCACCCTTAGAGGTGGATGATTTTCTTCAAAATTAAATTGGACCACTATGTAAGTATAGAATTCCAACAAAAAAAGAATCATGAAAATTGGTTCACAAATACCGGAGTCATCGCGTAACACACATACAAAAAACCATACAGTCGAATTGAGAACCTCCTCCTTTTTTTGAAATCGGTTATAAAGTAATTTGTAACATGAATTGTTTGTTTTAATTAATTTCAATTCGTAATTTACACTTTTATGTTTATTTCTTTTTTAATTACTGCTACTCAGAGCTAACAGTCGCAGAGCCACTCAGAGCTTTACATCGCAAAGATCTGAGTGGCCCTGCCACTGCGCCCGTCACCCTGAGACATAAGTTGACAAGTCCCATGTGCCTGCAATTTCACCCTTCAAAACAGGAACACATTAATGCTGACATTACTATTTGGTGGCAGAAACAGGTAAGGTGGCAGTAATACCCTGGACGAACTTTCACAAGGACCTCAACTGCAACCAAAAAATTAAATATAACGTTCAACGAATTACAATAAATTTATTGGGGCACGGCTTTTTTAGACCCGAACACGATGTTATCAGACCAGTTGAATATACTGTGTTTAATAAATTATGTATTAAATTGATATTTAATATTTGTTTTTTGTGAAACTACTCCACTAGTTTGTTATAATTATTAATACAAAGATCGAACACTCAGAAAAAATTCCTTCGATCCGGCCGGATTCGAACCGACGTCTTCTAGCATACCGTGGCAGACGCTATACCAACTAAGCCACGGAACGAACCAGAGGACCTCGCAAATTATTCTACGTGCTTGTTGTATTTGGTTATATCTTTGTATTTGGTTTTCAACGACTTTTGTAGCCGTAGCGCCATCTATGAGAAATCTATGAAAGTATTTCGTCACCCCGTTAGACACCTTTACAGCTTCTAGCCCTTGCTAGAGATGTCACTACTGCGTTTTCCAATTTTTTTATATTTTTGCAACAACTGCCGTTTAAACGACTATAAATTTTGTTTTTATAAACCAGGTCTGAACTTAATTATGGGTCTTATTGTTTAATGGCGCGGTATTACCCAATTCTCCCCTAATGTGATCATTACAGCATTTCGTTTTTGAAAGGTGAATTGGTAAAACTACAGGCGCTTGGAACTTGTCAACTTTAATTCCCAAAGTGTAGAGCAAGATGCAGACTCGGGCGCAATGGTTGAAGACTCTCAGATCTTTGACTTTTAAGGCCCTCAACTAGACCGCCAATAAGACGCGCTAGCACGAAACAGACAAACATGTTCATCTCCGCAGCTCACCACAAACCCCAGCGAGTCCATACCCAAGTCCGGGTCCACCAGTGACGCCCGTAAAGGCGTATCACTGGCGGAGGGCTTGGCCCGGACGCCCGCCGTACCCTGGTCTTGCCGTCGAGCCCGTAGTCTCTTCGGAAAACCCTATCTCTTGGGTCGGTAGATTGAGACGCAGTCTGCCGACAGATAAACTTCTTCTTCTCATTTTCATGGACCGTCCTGGTAAAAATAGAACATAGTAATATTGAAGAAATAATGTAGATGATTATGGCCGAGATGTCGGAGAAGGACAACCATGGGTGTAAGACGAGAATTTTCAACTTAGAAACAAGGAACTTTTGCAGGGTGTCACCATGTGATTACAATTATTTATTATATTTTGCAAGATTTGACAAATATAATAATAGATAGATGTTACAAAAGCATGCTAAGAGTGAACAAAAATATGAATATGAAAACAAGGCAGATTTAAAAATGCTCATTTAATGTGGGAACACGAATTGAGGTACGAAATCGTAAAAAAATCGTATTGGTGTCCAATGTAATATCATTTTTAAATTATACGCCGTGAGTACACACTACAAGTCTAAATTGCTTGATATTATAGTACAGTGATTTAATGGAAAAAAAGAAAATAAAACTGTTTATTACACAAGCACAGACACGAAATAACAGAGGAACAATAATAATAATAATAATACACCAAGAGCTCGCTCTGAAGTACGAACTCGTGCAACAGGGGTTGCCATATTACAAGTATTCATCGGAGCCAATACTCGAAGATGACCGCATCAAAATCTATTGGGATCGACCATTGACTTACAAATAAATGGACGACGGGTCTAATACAAAAACCACGAAAAAAATGCCCCAAGTCAACCTATTCGAAATTTAAATTGTAATGTCATCGCAGTATCGCGCTGTCAGTAGAACAAATGAAGACTAAAGCGGAGTGTCGCGCTCTGTATACGATTTTAGCGCCTTACAAGTGCGGACACTTTTTAGCGCGGACCCGACGTCCATATAATTGTAAGTCAATGGGATCGACCCATTATCGCGGACAGGGCTATTCTTGCGAATTTTGGATCGGGAATTGGTTCGCAGTCGAGGGTATTTCTTGTAGACGTTACCATCCCGCATGATAAGGGTCTCGTGAAAGCCGAAACCGAGAAACGCCGGAAGTATCTCGACCTGGCGCACGCGATCACTGACATGTGGGATGTGGCCTCCACTGAAATAATCCCAATTGTTTTGTCCGCAAATGGGTTAATTCCAGTCAGCCTTTGTTAGAGAGGCGGTTGGATAGAAATCCAACCAAAAATCCACGCCACAGAAGTGGCGTGTCGCTTCCAACACAAATGCAGAAGGCGGTCCTGCTCGATACGACACGTATTGTTCGCCGGTTCTTGAACCTGAGTCCCTGACTTTGGCCGACTGTTCCAGTGCCGGGAAATACCGCCTCTCCCATTTAAAAATTCAAAATTAATCTTTTAGGCCTTGGGAGAGGCGAGAATAATGATGTAAATAATGAGAATAAAAAAAGAAAAATTAAAACAATTGACAATGCAGTACCTGATTCACCGTCATGCGTGTCGCGCTTGATGCAATCGGAACTTGCTCAGCTTTAGCCACAAAGGATTTTTTTAAGCCGTTTCGTGGCGCTGATTTTCAGCAAGCAAGGGATTTCCCTAATGGGTTTTCCTCTTTTCCATAAAGCTTTCTCAGAATTGTACTTGATCAAATTGCTGTTGAAATTACAGGCACATGGGACTTGTCAGCTTATATCTCAGGGTGACGGGCACAGAGGCAGCTTTACGACTTAAAGCTCTAAGTGGCGCCTTGTTCGTCCAGTCACTTGTTATCATAAAAAAAATAATAAATGAACAACTTCCTTCTTCGTTTTAGACTACAACTAACGCCATCTATTTAAATTAAATTAAATAGGATGTTATTCATCAAACACACACATATATACATAGAAAATCACACGATATTATGTACTAATAAAGTATGAGCTGTGAGGATCGAGTATATAACCAGAAATAGAGACGAAATAAGGGACATACGTTCCTGGTAACTTATTAGTGATACTTCACTTATAAATATCAACTCTCATTTGCACTGAAATATAGACAGCGCCAACAACTGACCCGTGTGTACGTCTTCGTATATTCCAAAAATATTCTGTATTTATTGTAAGAAAGATAATATCTCTTACAATGACGTGCTGTTCCATTCCATTGTCTGGGGAAAAACAGCAAAAATCTAATTATAGAAGAAACGGAATCAAATTTCCTCATCAATTAAATACGTAATTTTGCAATTTTCGTCCATTACAATAAAGCTCAAGTTAACTGGACGATTTGAAGTGAAACAATTGACCCATTGACGAAACCCGTCAATTGTTTCGAATTCGGGCTGGCCAATCGGAGCGCAGTTGTCACAGAATAGTTTTCAAACAAATTAAATGACAGAAATATTTTTTTTACGCCCTGCCGCACTAGAGAAACTCTGTATCGCGGATGCCATGGACACACATAGTCAACCTTAAATTACATACAAATTCACGAGAGAAATTATAATAATAATAAGTTTGTTTATTTTCTCACAACAATATAGGTACATTGTGCATAATAACAAGCACTATACATAAAAAAAAAAGAAAAAGAAAGAATATTGTGGGAGACTGGTGCCTAAACTAGACGTATTCCAGGTCTGTATTTCAGGTCACCAGGACTCCACCCTTTGGAAAATATAAAAAACATAAAATAAAAAGGAAAAAGATAGTTTGTTAGTATTTGTTTGTGTATATGAATTTTTAAGTGTGCGTATAAATGTGTGTATGTGTGTGTGTGTGTGTGTGTGTGTGTGTGTGTGTGTGTGTGTGTAATGAAGGTGGATGATTGTTGTGCATGTAACTATGTGGGAGGATGTGAGTGTGCGTTGACGAGGGAATTGAAATATGATTAGGCAAGTGATGGTGTGCTGGCAAGGCGATCATTATGGAGAAAGTTTTCTTATTAAATAACTAAAACAATTTTATAATAAAATAAAATAATCCACATGTGAAACTAATTATACTGGGACAGTAATTAGTAGTTCCGTATCCTCATAGGTTAACTCCTGAATAAATGTATGTATGTGTCATGCATATATATCTCCCGATCGGGGGATCGAACCCGGGACCTCTACGTGGCAGTCAAATTATATGTTATTGATTTGTTTGGTATACAGTCCTATAATATTTCCTAAATACCTCTTCTTCTTTACTTTCAGGTACCTCCAATAGACTACCTCCGCCAAGTGACCCTAGACCTCGGTGGAGAGTGCGCCGCGTTAGGTAGCGAACGTCACATGATAAGACGAGCACCACCGACTCTTGCGCAGCAACACGCCGCTACTGTACGGGCGCTTATTAAACGGTTTAATCAGGTAATGTACCACATACCACATCCGCACACATTAAAATATTTGCACATTAATCTAGCTGAAGCAGACATCATAAATGCTAAAGGACTGTTCATGTTACACCGTGCTGGGCGCGAGTCGCGCCACGTACGAGTCTCGGATTACAAATCTGCGTACATGAAGTGATTCACATTACAACGTATCTTGTCTGTGGCACGGACGAGAGACGCCCGAGCGCTTCCGAGCTCGTCCGTGACTCGGATGCGGCCCGGCCCGCCTTGCCTCGTTGTAGTGTGAACATTTTCTGACTACGTACATACATAAGCTCACTCCCAAATCCCACAGGAGGGTTAGGCAGAAACCACGGAACGCCACTTTTCTCTATCCTGACACGTCTCTCGAACCTCACATACATCAACTACCCTTTTCATACAACTTCTTTTATTCTTGTCACTTCGGATCCCAGCCTTTGTGAGGACACCACTGATCTGATCAATGTAAGTCCTTCTGGGACGTCCTCTTAAAACCCTTCCATCCACATTCGCATCATAAATCTGTTTGGTAATTCTTCTTACATCCGTCCGCTCTACATGCTCACACCACCTTAACATTCCTTTCTCTATTCTAGTCACTACATCCTTTTAAGTCTTTCACGTATTATTGTATTCTTTACTCTATCAGTCAATTTTATTCCACACAATTTTCCTCAAAGATCTCATCTCCACTGTATTAATTCTACTTTCATGTTTCTTCTGCCATTCCCAACTCCTACTACCAAACGTCAGTATGGGAACCGGCAAAGCGTTGTGTATGGACATATGTGCTTTTTGAGATAAGGTGTTGCGCCCCATTGGACCATTTATGGCTCCATTTACTGCGTTTCCATTTCGTACCCTTCTTTCAAAGTCCATCAAAATTTCAATCTCTTGTAAACACACTACCCAGATACACAAACTTATTCACTCGATCAACATTCATACCTTGTATTTTAATCTTACATACCGTCACGTTCTCATTCACTCTCTGACACTGTCTAATTTAACACATTCCCTGTGCATATATCATATTTATATGGTGCACTTCGAGGTCCAAACGATACGTGAGTGTATCACAAATGAGGCATGGCCATTTATAAATTTATACATTAAACAAATTTTTTACGTGTAAGCTAGATCATCTTTATTTACTTGCACGTATGGATCACTAAAATTGTGACACGAGGATGTGATACCGGATGGCTTTTTAACCAATGTTGCCAGATTATAACTGTCAAAATAAACACACAAAAATTTAAAATTATTATTCTGCATTGCTAAATAAATACCTTCCGTACTACCAACAAAAACATCTCAACTAAAATGCAGTAATACACCGCAAATCCTGCACTTAAAAAGCACTAATGAAATTTTTGGTTACTTGGATAAATATGATAATATTCCGTTT